CTCTGCAGTACGAATGGGATTGCGTGCACCGACATCATTGATCCTCAATAAGCAAACTCACGAACATGTGAGTAAGTGGCTTTTGGTATAGACATGGCACGGTGTTTTGGATGCTTTTCGCATTGGCGTAAATAGCTTGATCTGTGGCATTGAAAGGTGTATTGCGGATACTGAATAGACAAAGTTTTCGATACATCCTCTTACCAGTGTCGATGCAACGCAGTCTCGTTCCATCCAACACACCATCTTGAGTCTAGCGGAACCATTTACGGCTTTCGGATAAAATCTCCGTTCGCTAGCCTGATGATTGATCAAATGATGCAGGTGCAGAGGCAGTACGCGTGTTGCGTTCGCTGGCGTGTCGTTTTGGTCTTGTGATCGTGCTTACCTGGCGTTTGCTTGGCGCGTTGCCTGTTTGGCTAGGGGAATCCGTGTACTTGCATTGCTGGCGACCTGATCTCCCGTGCATTACATTTCTGACTAAATAAACCTACGTGGCTGGCGAGATCATGATGTTGAACGCCTAGTATTTTGGGGTATCGAATCTAGTACCATGTTGTTGGTGCATCTGTTGCTAGACAGTCGCCATATCCGGTGTGCCTTATCAGTGATTGGCAGGGACTTCGATTCTAAAAGCGCAGGGATTATTCAGCACACGGGTGCTTGTGATGACGTATCTGTGCATGTTCATGGAAAAGCCATTATCCCGTCTTGACATACGTTGGTGCGTGTATGTTGGGTGTGAAGGGTTCAATGTTGAGGGCTCGTTGCAATGACGCCAAGTCATGCCAAGTCCTGGAGTATCACACTCTAGTTGAGCCGCAAACACTATAAGGGTCTCGTGCCCCTTCTAGATCACTGGAAATAAGCCAAATATCGTCTGCTTTGAGAGTTGGCCTTCCTTAATTGCGGGGTTCAGAGAAAGGGTACACATGAGCTAGGCCCGCAAACAGCTAGCTCGTGGGGGAATGCGATCCGCACCTGCCCGAACACAGCATGACCCCACTATTAGGCCGCGTGCTTTGAGCCAATCCCAACGGATTAGCACGTCATTTTTCGCCTTAAGTCTGGGTCGTCGTCGCGCCGCCGTCGCTCTTTCGCAACTCCAGAACGACGCGACATCCCGAGCGACAAACCGAACGATACATGGAGTCGCCGGAAACGCCCGCCGTCCCAGAGACTGCTGCTAAGAAGCGCAGAAGACCAGTCAACGGTACGCGACATGGCCTCTTTATATGGCGATAGGTGTACTAACAGAGTTTCGACAGCCTGCGCTACTTGCCGTGCGAGAAAGGTAGGATCTCATGGTCTCTTGTATATCATTCCTCTCTTTAGATACCCATACCAAGGCAATGGGTATCCGGCGAGCGACCATCAGGTTGTCGTGATGGTCGTAGTTCTGGCGTCGGGGCCTAGGATATCCGGAAAACCATAAATCAGGGCCCAACGTAGCTGACAACCATCTAGGTCAAGTGCGATGAACGCCCAAACGGCTGCCTGAACTGCGAAAGGCTACAGCTGGACTGTGTGCAGAATGGCGGTGTTTCCACTGCTGCGAAGAGACCAAGCACGGCGTACGAGCCTGTTGTAGGCATCAAGCGTAAACGTACATTTCGATCCTGCATTCCCTGTCGAGACTCCAAAGTCAAATGCTCCGGCGAACGACCGAACTGCATAAGATGCCAGCAGCGCAGAACCTCATGTGTATACGATGCTGAGCAGGTGGAGCCAGCCTGGGTACAGAGCATTGCGACTCCTGCCTCAGACACGCACGCCGATTCCGTGATGATACCGCCACACACTCCCCGGGATTCTCGAGAGCCTTCTAGGATACTCGGCTCACTGTCGAATAGCGAGCCTGCTGTAGCGGGGTGTCCGCCGGGCCTACTATGGTATGCCTTACGATCTTACTGGCGTGCATCCAACTTACGAATCCGCACAGGTTGTTTTCCCAGCAGCTGCCACCCAGAATCAAACTTCATGCGTTGTTAGATGCTTACTTCAACAACGTCCACCCCATCCGCGTGTTCGCGTTCGAGCACAAGCCCTCGTTCATTCGAATGCTAGACGAAGGACAGCTCGTGGATGCCTCCGATCAAGCCCTCTTGCACATAATGTGTGCATTGGGTGCTCGGTTTTACGCTCTCGACTACAGTGAGTCGTTCTCGCCCTTGACGAAAGATCTGATCCAGTCAGCCGGAAGCCAGTGGGCTAAAGTCGCGGAAGAGATGTTCTTCGCTGATTACAGCACCATCTCAATTACCAAACTCAAGGTCTTGGTCTTGCTTCACGACCAGGAAGCTCGCAATGGCAACTATGCTGGGTCTTTTCTTCTTACCGGCCTTGTCATACGTATGGCGCATGCCTTACAGCTCAACAATGAAGTGTCACCAGATGTGCTTTGTAAGGAATTAGGAGGAAGTCCAAACGAGGTTTCTGTGCGAGAGTCGCGTAGAAGACTCATGTGGGCGTGCTATATGATTGATGTCTGGGCTGGTAGTGGCGTCGACCACCTCACTATACTCAATGAAAGAGACCTCAAGATTCAGCTTCCGTGCAACGAGCGTCAGTTCTCACTACAGATCCCGTGTATTACGGAGCGGCTCGAGAGGGGCACACTATTGGAACTCATGTCTCCAGAGGACATTCCAGAGAAGCCGGCGGATAACCTGGGCATGGCCGCGTACTATGTGCGCATTGTCAGTATCTGGCGACGTGTTCTTCGGTGAGTGTGGCTAGATTCAGCTCGCGAGTCTTGATTGCTGACTTGGCTTAGGTTTGTGAAGCACATGGATGAAGAACAACCGCCGTGGCTTCCAGAGTCAGGATTCGCCGTCCTCATTGAGGACATACAGTCGTGGAAACAAAGCCTGCCATCCTGGCTAGATTTCTCCGCGGACAACATCTACATTCGGCGCGAGACACATCAGCTAGGTGCCCTCCTCCTCATCCACTGCATGTACCATCACGTTATGTGCGACGTACATAGGATCGCTCTCCCTGATCTGTTCAAAAACCAGGAGCCGTTCGTCTTCCCTACTGATCGACAAGCGTTTGTAAGTCATCTGCAAGACGTCTGCTTTGAGCATGCGCAGCGTATGTCGGTCCTAGTCTCACACATACTCCAACACGGGGTCAAACACTTTGCGGACTCCATACTGCCTTCATTCGTTTACAACAGTAGTCGCATCATGCTCTACTATATCGCTCGGATTCTGGACGTATCAAAGCCCGACGCAGGAACTGTGATTGGTCGTACAGTCGAGTTAGTGCAGTACAACAACCAGGCGTTACGGGAGATGGCGTTCATGTACCCGCTTGCTGAATCGTTATGTATCACCTCCGAGCGCTGGTTGGAGACTGTACGCGACAGTCTGGCTCGTGGTCACTCTGCTGACTACATTGCGCCTCAGGATCCATCAGAGAATGAAGCGCGGCGCATTGTCGGCGCGCCTGCACCGATGGCTGGCACTCCTAGACAGCGAAATGCGGCCATCTCAGTTATTCCTCCTGTCGAGGAGATACTGTCAGCAACTTCACCCTCGACTCTTCGCACGGCTACTACTCGCTATCCTTTCTCAGCGCCTACCACTGGTCACGGTTCTTCTACTGTAACATCAGGCCAGGCCATGACGACACCATCTGAGAATGCAGTAGGGACCATGTACTCTTCTCCCAGCGCGCCAACTGCTTTCGAGCAGCCCATGTTCAACCTGGACGACCTCCAAAATTTCTTCGGATGGGAAGCAAGTGATGACGAGAATGCACAGTCTACTGGGTTCGAGGGCTTTGGTCCGCTAGGCTGGGCAAATAATTTCTCCATCATGTAAGTGAGTATTGTATTGTGAAAGTTACCTGCTGGGCGTTTGGGCACGGTCTTTCTAGGGTATACCTCTCTTCCGTTAAAACCGACGCGGTAGGTTCTCGGCCATCTTGGTTCATTACTAGAATGTTTCCTCTTTAGGAGCAATATCGACTTTCTAAAATGCACCTTGATCATACTGTATCTGGCGATAATGGGTAGCTAATCCAGTAACATCGTGATTCGAGCGGTAAGGTGCCGCTTGTCCGCGCAGCATGATCCAACAATGATGCAACGAACGAACACCAACATACATAGTAACCGCCAAGCTCAGAAGCCGGGTATGTGGTACTTTGCCGCCCTACCAAGACTCTTGGTAAAGGCTATCATATGTACGAGACTCAGCCAGACCGGCTCGCACCACCACAGCACGCACCTCAACATGACCGACAACGCCTCTTTCACCGGCGCATCCAGCGCAAAACAAGCTGCCCTCAATAGCTTCGTACAATTAACCTGGCGCTATTGGCGCTATCTCTACATACCCGGGACCTTCCTCTGCATGCTTGGTTTCCTCAGTCTCGCGTATGCGGTGCATCTGGGTCGAGCGCGCCCGCACGAACGCTGCAAAACCCAGAGGGTAACTTCGTTACTATTCTACGTACTAGGACATCAGCTATCACTCTACGGTATCCTGGTCTGTACGATATGGTATGCGCTCAAGGACGAGCGCCCTGGATCGGGAATCGTCCGCCCTGATGCCCACAAAAATGCTGCGGGATCTTTGAAGGGTTACGATCTCGCATTGGATGATGGCTCCGGATCTTTCGAGGAAGTGCACGCAGTCCCATCAAACAATGCTCGCGCTATCCCGCTAGTTAGGTCTGCTATCACTGTCGCAGCTTCGGCTTTGGGCGTCGTCGCCGTGGTGACCCGATATAACTGTTTAGACAGCGAGTGCCCATTTCAACAGAAATGCTACGTAGTGAGCATTGTATGCATGACAATCGCTTTTTCAAGGTATTTTCGGGGTTTTATCGAGTACGTTCGCAAGATTCGGACATACACGAGGAAGAACGCGGACTGGACCGGAGGATGAATCCGAGCTACGGGTGGGTTGAATAGGGCACCCGAAAGAACGTCGATGGGAGAGTGTTGTGGTGCATCTAGTACTTTATTCATTGGAACTTCATAACTGTTACTTGCCCTGCAAGTCCATATGCCACTCTTCACGTAACGAGTGCTCAGCTACCGAGAAGATGTCCAGCCATGCTTCGCTTCCTGTAGCCATGCCACGTCCGTATACATGTTTGTCATGTATACTATCCTGAGCGACGTTCGTTTGGGTCCAATACGTGAAGGCGGTCTGTCCATCTGGCGATATGGCTTCTATCATGAGGACTTTGTTCTGCTCTTGCAAGACTGGGAACTCTGCTTGGAACCAAAGGCCTCCCTTGTTGACATAGCCTGGAGTATCTGCGCCTGGTCCAATACTGGCGTCCATGACTGTCGCAAATACTTTGCATAGCGACGCGAAGGCTTTGGACATGTTGGTGTAATACTGTGTCCGCCAGGTTTCGTTGTTCATGATACAGCGTAGTGGATTGGTATTTCGGGCTTCGCTGTTGTAGTACTTTTTTGGCCAGACATCCTGTGCTTGTTTAGCAGAAGCCAGAGACTACGCAGCGAATATGCAAATACCCAGATCGTTGTCATAGGAGACTCCCCATTTGGTCTCGTTTTCGCGTAACGGCGCGCCGTCTCGCTCAACCCGCGCGTGTAGAATAGACAGAGGTTAGGTTCTGGTCGCAATATCGCTTCCGCTTGGAATAACTCGATGGTGTATTTGTCGACGGGATCCCAGGTCGCCTCTGAGCTGTGGAGCTGCGTGCATTCATCGTCCCTAAGCTCTAGCGGAGCAGCTTCGGCGATGAGGAAGAGTTGGTAGAGTGTTACGACAAAGGAAAAGAGCTTCATGACGATGTTGATGTGTGACAGATCGTGGGTGAGGGTTCCCATGCAGCAGGGTGGAGCTGCATCTAACGTAGGCGTAAGCGGCCCCCAAACGCCTATCTATGGACGAGGCTGAGCGTCAGGCGTGCATGCTCGGCGCCTGCGCCCTGGCGTCAAGTTTGCGCATCTTGTCAGCTTGAATACCAAGGATACGTTCGCAGCTCACACGATCAATCCCACCTCTTTAGTGATCTGGTATGCCTCCGATGCACGTTGTTTAGTAGCACCTAGATAGTCAAGGCTCACTCGGATCAATCGTGGACCGCGCAATACCCAACCAGCGATTTCGCCAAAAACAACATCTCAACGGTGTGCCATGCACATATCACCGTGCATCGCGACCTGATAGCAAATTGAAACACTTTGGCTACCGAAATGATAAATGGTGTGTGGTGGGTGGAAGACAAGTCTTCCGAGGGAGCAAAAAACGCAAAAAGTAAACTAAATATCTAAGCAAAACGTCTTATTTAATATAGGTTATTTAGCTACTAGTCTAACTAGTAATATTAAATTAAACTAAGTTCTACTATTCTAATACTAGCTGTCTACTTATTCTTTTAGTAATAAACTAATCTTAACTAAACTCTAGCTTATAGCTTAATATACTACTTTATAGTAGAAATAAAAAGAGCTAAAAAATTAATATATACTATCTCTACTTATATAAGCGCTAAATACTTTTATATTAATTCTTTAATTACTTAGATCTTACTTTATATTATCTATATTTTTAAGTAAGTATTACTTATAAACATTAGTATAATATACTACTTATAACTTACTTTATATACTAGTATACTTAAAAAAGTACTACTAAACTACTATAAGTATAGCTATTTTAAAGAATATGTATAAGAAATTAGCTATTAAATACTAAAGATTTAAGTAGCTTTATATAGTAGATTAAACTTATAATTTCTACCTAATTAGGTCTAGTACTAATTAAGTAAGAAATATTAAATATTTACTTACTTTTATATATAGACTTATACATAGAATCTTACTTATTTAATCTACTTATATTATATCTCTATACTATTTTATATTACTCTATATCTAAGATATAAATACTTATCTTCTCTTTACTACTATAACTTTATAACTTTATAAAACTATAAGTAGTTATAACTTTACTCTAACTTATAAAGCTTATTAAATAAGTAAGTCTATAGTATTACTAATACTATTCTATAATTAGAAGTAAGCCTAACACTTAAGTAATAATTAGTAATACTACTTATAATCTAGAATATAAGAATATAGAAGTAGAGTAACTAATAAGTACTACTAGAAGCTCTTTATTAGAGTACTTAGTAAAGTAACTATTAAGATAAATAATATACTTTATTACTAAAGTTATAATATAATAAATAAAGAATTAGCTTACTTTAATTAGAGTAAGTAGTTATAGTAAATCTATATATTATATATTAAGTACTAAGACGTGTAATAACTATAAATAATTAAGTAAATATAGTTAAGTAGACTATAGTCTATAAGTAATCTAATACTTTTATTTCTACTACTAATACTATATTATTATTAAAGATATTATAAGTACTATAGCTATTATACTTACGTAATTATAATACCTAGAATACTTAAGATACTTAGAATACTATAACCTAGGCTCTAGTACTACGTAAGATCTAGTAATCTAACTACTACTAAAGTAGCTTTTTAGACTTATATTCTCTATCTTTTATTTTAGAAAAGGTAACTAGTACTAAGACTAAAGTACTAGAAGAGCTTATAACTTATAATATCTAATATATTAAACTTACTATCTTAGATAACTATATTAAGATTATTACTAGTAATAACTTAGAGATTATCTATATTTCTCTAGAGTTAAAATAATAGTTAGAGCTTTAGACGCTCTATTTCTATACTAAAGATAAATACTTTACTACTTATACTATTATAATAGGCTAAGACTTTAAAAAAAGTATTAACTTTATAATAGTTAATAAATTATACTTTTATATTACTATTAGTAATAAAGCTTAACTTAGTTCTACTATTACTAAATTTTTATAGTAGTTTTACGCTACGCTTATTTATATTATAACTACTATTAAACTTCTTACTAAAGAATATAATACGCTCTTAAAGTAAGTATAACTTCTACTATCTACTATTTTATATTAGCTATATAATAAAAAGATAAATTATATTTATAATTTTAAAGCTTAAATTAAGAAGCTAAAGAGTAAGAACTCTTTATTAGATAACCTAAATAAGATTAATAAGTACCTAGCTTATCTTATACTATAGACTAAGCTCTAAGAACTTTACACTACTAGTAAGACCTACTATAACTCTATTAGTAAACTTAAAAATACCTAGAATATTAATAAAAATAAGATTAAGAAGCTAAAGAATAAGCTTAAGTATAAGAAGAGTAAAGCTAACTACTTCTATTATAATAGGCTTAGGCTTTACCTAAGCTTTAGCTTAGTATATAGAGTAAAGCTTACTATAAGCTTTCTTTTTAAGAAATATAATATCTTTACTAATACTTATTATAGCTACACTTTAAGGCTAGTTTATAATATTTATATTTCTTCTTTTTATACGCTATATCTAAGTATTATAATAGTAAAACTTAGTATATAGAATACCTAAGAGTTTTTAGAAGTCTCTTTTCTTATATTACTTTATTAGCTCTTTAAGTAGATAGTAGCTATCTATAAAATATAAATCTAGAACTATATTATAATAGTAATATTACGCTTCTAGAATAAGAAACTATGTAACTTTATTACTTTAATACGCTTTACGCCTAGCTTTATAATATTACTACTTATTACTATAACTATAACTTTATTAGTACTTATACTATTCTTCTTAGTAGCTATAGTGCTACTATCTCTAAATTCTTCTACTACTATAGTAGCCTCTACTTTCTACTATAAGATCTTACCTCTAGAAAAGCTATTTACTAGTAATAAAATATACTTTTATTTATAGCGTATTATAATAAAATATAGATTAGATATAGACTAGAAGTTTATTAAGAATATAAAGGCCTAGTTTATTTATATTTAGTAGTCTTTCTTAATTATAGTATAGCGTAAAGTTACTCTATTTTATAAACTTAGTAAATAAAACTATTAAAACTTTATTACCTTTCTAGAGTATCTTAAGTTCTATTATAGTAACTAGTACTTTTAGAAACGCGTTTAAGTATAGTTAAATTACTTATAATAAAATAAAAAGTAAAGCTTTACTAGCTTTTTTATTTACTTTAGCTAGCTTTTTATATAAGTAGATAGGCTTAGCTAAAGTAGTAACTAGAAGCTTACTAGGCTACGCTAGGCGCTTAATAAGTATATATAGATAGTTACTCTTAACTAAAGCGTTTAGTATTTAGATTTTAATAGCGCTATCTAGAAGTATAAAGCTATTATAGTAAATATTAAGACTACTAAGGTAAAGAGTTTATATTATAACTTTACGCTCTTAGCGCCTCTAGCTTATAACTATAATAGTAATATTTAAATAGTAAATATAAGTACTATAAAGACTTTTAGTACCTCTATAAAGCGTAGCACAAGTAGCACCTATACTAACTAGATTCTCTAGAATATTTTTAACGCTAGACGCGCTTTAGAAGCCTATACTTACTATAGTAAGTAGAAGTATCTTTACTAAAGCTATACTAACGCAACTATACTATAAGTAGTAGAGATTAGATATACTATAATAGAAGAAAGATATAGTATTTTAGAAAACTAGTAGCCTCTAGTTTAAGTCTAAACTAAAGATAAGTAAGCGCTAACTTAGTAGAAAAGTCTATAGATAACTTTCTTACTAATAATATTTATAAAATTTAGTAGTCTATAGATAAGAGTCTATTTCTTATTTTACTACTACTAGATAGCGTTAAAGTAGTATAAGCTTTAGTAGACTTAGAGTATAAGTACTATAGCGCTATTAGTAAGATAGTAGCCTTATAGCTATAGGCTAATTATATTATAATTTCTTCTTAGACTCTTTACTAAGCTATAGAGTTCTTAGAAAGAACTAATATTTCTAGACTTATAGCTATAACGTATAATCTAGATAGTTAGATATTATAGCTAGTAGCCTATATTATTCTAGAACTTATTTATAATATTATTTTAGAAAAACTATAGATATACTATAAAGATATTATTTTTAATATACTCTAGAGTAAACTTTACGTTAGAGTAGTAGAAGGTATAATTATAAAGAAAACTACTACGCGCTTATCTCTTCTAGAGCTTAGGTCTATAGTAGTATCTATAGTATCTATATTTATATAAAATATAAAAAGTAATAAAGATATAGCGTAGATATTATAGGTAATAAACTTTTATAAACTTACTTTTACTATTAATACACTATACTCTATTATACTTATCTTTACGCTATTTAAGAAGTCTATTATAATAAAGCTTTCTAGTAAGCTAGTAGACTTTTAGAACCTTTTTAATAAATCTAAAGCCTTAGAGTTACTTTCTTATAAAGGCGCTATAAACTATTATATTAGGTTAGCTAGATAGCCTAATAGAAGCTTACCTACGCTCTTTTAGAGCTCTCTTTACTTTATATTATATAATTAACTATTAGAGCTATAGTAGTAGCTTATAAAGCTTATAGATAAGAGCTAGATCTATACTAGCTTTTCTACTATAAGTGTATCTATACTTCTAGTTAAGAAGGTATTAGGTAGATAGCGCCTTTACGTAGATTACTACTTATTAAATAAGATTACTTAGTCTAACTACTACTTACTTCTACTAATTAAGAAAACTTTATATATAATATTATAAGCATAGTAGTTTATAAAAGTTAATATATAGGCTACGTTCTATAAGCTTTATATAGCTAAAGAGAATAAGTACCTAATAGTGTTTTATATCTATTTTAGTCTCTTTAAGTAGCTTATCTATCTATTTAGACTAACTAGCGCCTTTACTATCTTTTAATAATAT